AGAATTTAGAAAATAGAAAACGCTAAAAGGTATAACATATACACTCTAATTAAGTGCAATTATTATTATTATTTTTTTTAATTTTGAAAATAATAATTTTAGCAGTTAAATGGAAAAAGTGTTATATCTCACTCGCAATGCATGATGAAATAACCCTGGATCCTGCTCTGGTATTTACTTAAAAGTATTTGTTAATTGCTTTTCATGCTTTTGTCACCAAGATCAAAATCTCTTTTAGTCTAATGGGCGTAATATTAACAAACATCACTCCTCGTATGGGGCTTTTCCGTGAGGTTCACTCCACACGCACTACCCCTACATTCACTAAATTTACGATTGCATCAAGCTATTACACATACACAACACTCAAACTCAAATGTTGATTTTTGCGTGGGAAGAACCAGAGGACCAGGAGCAAAACCCGGGCTAACTTTAAGATCGATACCTTGAAATAACCTCAGGCCTGATATAAGTCACAAGGGCGTATCCAGGATTTTTCAAGGGGGGTCCCTACACACCAAACTTTTACTATGACGTCATAGCGCTATGGTACGATTTGCTCTTGTTTATCGCTTTTGTGGCTTAGAAAGGGGGGTCACGGGCACCCTAGGACGCCCCCCTTTTAATACGCCCCTGGGTCAGGGCATGGCTAGCTCACAGATCGATACCTTGAAACAACCTCTGAGCTGATCTAAGTTAGGACATGCGTAACTCAAAAGATCGATAACCTGAAACAACCTCAACGCTGACCAAAGTTAGGGCATGGCTAACTCACAGATCGATACCCAGAAACAACCTCTGGGCTGATCTAAGTCAAGGCATGGCTAGCTCACATATTAAATAAAAATTTAGTTTGTTAGGTTTTGTGACTGATGGGAGGAAAAACGTCCCTCAAATCAAGGGAGAGACCTAACAAACTCTATTCACATGTGATACCATGTCCAGGAATCGAACCTGAGACCTCAGAGCTGAGAGGCAAGTGTACTACCGGTACACCAAACTTGATTTCCTTAATTCACTAACGACTTTGACTGTCAGCACAAGTACAATACAGTTTATAGTACGAATTCCTACCTCAATTGTGCATAAAACCGTATACGTATTTTTTCTGTATACTCCGAACACGAGTGACGACAGGCTTGCCTGGTCTTCTTCTGTCAAGCTGTATCGCCAGGTAAAGTATGCAGAACCACGCGCTGATTGTGTGATGCGACTTGGAGCCGAAGTGAAAACCGATCTGGACTAAAATGTTCAAATAGGAATGAATATTAATTATGGTTATTTGTTGAAAGTATTCAAGTACCAAGACAATTGTCATTTAGCTATAGCAAGCATTGGATGGGAAACAAAAGAATGGAGGTTTTTGAAGGAAGGGCTACTAACTGTAAGCTTAGGTAGGTCCAAATGGACACACACAAAAAACGAGCATATGGATATCAAAATTTTCATATATAATGACTAAGCCTGGGGTGACGTCACAGTCAGTAACATAATGGAACCTTTATAACTTAAAGACGCAACATTCCAATGAAGAAATATTTCACCATCCAACTATTCACTTTATGTAAAATTAATACATTGTAACAGGAGGTTACTTAGGTGCACTTTTACCCAAACTCCTTCCCATATTATCCTTCTCCCATGTGATCAGCAACGGCCATTTATCAAAGTGGTTTTTCACTAAGACGACATAAAGTATTAGCCAATCCGAGGTTGAGAGAAAAAACTGTGTCGAGTTGGCGTTGCAGTGCATTGTGGGGCTGTTTAAGGTGGTGTAGCCGCCATCTTGGAAATATATTCCCATAAAAGCAGCCCTAAAAACTTTGTTTTTTCCTTAACYCCGGAATGGCTAAAAGGTAAGATGGTGACTTGTAAAG